TTAGGAAACAGGAAGAGTGTGATTATATTGTTGGTGTTGTAATCAACATCTTAACATGTTCATGAATGATTTATTGTAAAACCAGTATGCTTTGTCAGTTTTTACTTAAATTACAATCAAAAGAAATATGAATATGTCTTTGGAGTCTTTCTCACTCATAGCCAGTAAGACTCAACTCATAGATGACCTTCCACTGGGTTTCCGAGGCTGTAAACCACACTGGAGGAGCTTGCCCTTCTTTCTTTCTCTTTCAGAGCTGTTGGAGGATTTGAACTTCTGAAAGGACAGCAGAAACCCCATTTTTTACAAACCCCCATTAATGCTAGAGGCAGAAGCGGGCCGTACAAATTCTTAGCTTAGGGCAAACACGAGTGCCCTGGGTAAAGCCTGGTCTGTCCTTGAAAGGTAAAGAATTAACTAGTGTCTGTGTGACACAAAAGAAGTAAAGGCGGGCAAAGTAGCCAGCCCATCAAAAGTCAACCCACCAACCATGATTGCAATCCCCCTGCCCTAACAGGAGCACTCAAAAGAGCTATAAAAGCAAGTGGGAGGGGAAACTGGGCTTTTTTCCTTCACCACCTGCCTGAGGAAAGAGAAAAGTCTCCATGCGTGGAAATAATATAATAAATGCTCTTGAAATTTCAGACGTGTTTTTAGATTTCTTTGAGGGGCATTTCATGGGCAGAACACTTCCAGCCTTGGTCTTTGGATTAGCAGTACAACCATCTACAGACTACAATTGGTGTTTTAGGTGCCATCGAGTCAACTAGGACTTATAGTGACCCTATGAATAACAGATCTCACGGCCTTGCCCTGTTTTATGCCATCCACATGATCTCTGATGAACTCACTATTGTAGTCACTGTGTCAGTCCTCCTCCTTGAGAGTCATTTTCTCCTTTGTTGACCTTCCATCTTTCCTAGCATGATGTCTTTTTCCAAGGACTGCACTCTCCAGATAAGAGTTTTACCACCCTTGCTCTAAGGAGCTTTCTTGTTGCTTTTTTTTTCCTAGACAGATTGTTTGTCCTTTTGCCAGACCATAGTGTGTTTAATACTTTTCTCCAACATAACAGTTTAATACTTCTTTGGTCTTTATTACTCATTGTTCAAGAGTCAGATGCACAGGAAGCAACTGGAAATACCATGGCTTGGATCAAGCATACTTGTCTTTTAAACTGACATCCATTAGCAGGACTGCAATCCATTTCTAAAAGAACAGGCCTTCTGCAATCCTATGGATAACAAAGAACATTGTTTAGAATAAGAACTTTAAATTAATCATGTGCAGAAATGAACTCATCCTTTCCAAGGGTATTAATTTCACTTGATCAGTAGTTTCATCAACCATCCAAGTAAAACATAGGCCTTCTCCTGGTCTCTTTCTTTTATATCCCAAATTCAACCAATAATAGCATTTCATTGACTTAACCTATTACCATCCCTTACAACACCCATCTTCAGGCATTTTCCTACTTCCTGGCTTAGTTTAGACTCTAAGCATATAGTTTGTTTTATTGCAATAGTTTAGCTTTCCTTTGGCCCTGTGTCTTGCCCTGGCTTTAGTCCAATGTTTCTGCTGCTGATAAAGTGAATTCAATGCCGTTTATTCTTCTGCTTGTAAGGTTTTAATAGCTTCCTTTTAAGTTACAAAGAATACATTTCAAAAAATCTTAGACTATTATACAAAGATATCCTGAACTAGCATATCACCTATTTTACTTACTGTACTTCTTTAGCTCCATTTTTCACCTTTATCTCTTTTCTATGAAGAACTAAAACTCTCATTGCCCTGAGTTGGAGAGGACTCATAGCTGCCCACCACACCAAAACCCCAAAAGTTTATGTGTGGTTGTAAATCACAGTAGGGTAAATTGCCCACCTCTCTGCTGTGTAGCTGTTGGTGGGCTGTGATGCTGAAGTGCTATCTTTGGGTTTGTAGCACAACTCCCCACACACTCTGTCATTAGAGATTCTTTATGAACTAGAAAAACGCTTGTTGTCTGTAAGTTAGTGTTCTTTTCCATCTTTTAGATAAATCTTGTAAATACTAACTAGTTTTTAAAGCTCTACTCAAATGCTATTCCATTGCTTTTGTTCCATAATTAGACTGCCCTTTCTATGTGACCCATACGTGAGTACTCTTGCTACATTGAATTCTTGGCTGCTAACAAACAGGTTCAGCAGTTCAAACCAAACAGCTACTCCATTGGAAGATGACAGGGTTGTCCTTCTTTTATGATTATAGCCTTAGAAACACTGTGTGACAATGATAGGGTTGGCATGAGTCAGCGTCAATATAACAGCAATAGATTTGGTTTCAGCTTTTCTATGACCTCCAATGTCACATGTTACATATTAATTTATAAAAGCAACACCGATTCATTGCTTACTTGCTTCTATCTAATATGCACAAGGCTCTTGAGGATTTGGTACATGTCTTACTCACATTTAAAAAATCTTTTATAGTTTAGCAGAGAGATGGATGGAACAGGTATTTAATACGTTTTGCTCCATGACTAATTGGTGTGGCTAAATACAGAGCCACTTGGATTAGATTCCCAATTTTCCTGACCTAATCAGGGATTCTAAGGTATCTTATTTAACACATGAATCATATTACCATAGATTTTATTTTAGAATTCCTTTAGAATCCCTAAACAAATAAGCAGTGTTTTAAGATACATTTTATATTGCAGAAGATGAAATCTAAGTGTTTGGATATGATTATAATTGAAATTATGGTCCTTTAAGTTGTGATATATGTGTAAAAAGAGAAAGATTTTGTTTTCACACCCTTTTCTCTTCCCTAAAATTGCTAACTTATCCTTATGCTATGGAAAAGGTGCTTGTTTTACTCCTAGGCCAGGAAGCTGTCATTACACAATGGAAAGAGTAACATATTCTACTTTGTCAAGCTGCTGCACTGCTATCAGGATTTCTGGATGAGTTTGTTGGTTTATGTAGGTTAATCAACACAATCAGACATATACCTATGCATCTTCAAGATAAGCACTAGAACGAACCTTCAAATTTTTGTTTCAAATTCTGTCATAACACAAAACAATGATTAATTGCTGGAAAGGGCAACTATTCTTCCCCATTCTTCCAAGTAGAAATGAAACCTGCAGTTTTAAGATATTTACTTGCTTCTTAAATGTTCCTAAAACATATTTACTTCATTACTGTTTTGTTAATATAGTTCAAGCGTTACACAGTATTTACACATTTCTTCCAAGAATTTATTCTATTTTTTAGCTACATGATATGTCATTTGGCTACAAAAACCCAAAAACAACAACAAGAAAACCCCAAACATGTTTCATTACCCATTGCAAATACCTAAAATCCATCATGTCCAAGTTAGCTTTCTCTCCCCTGGGTTGAAGAAGTTCACATCAGTTGGATTTATTTTCAGGGACTATTTGGCAATATTTGTGCTTTTGTTACTGACAATTTCTAGTTCAGACAAAAGGAAAAGAAACCGGAGTTCTAATTTTAATAAAGCCTTGGCTTATACCAACTAAATCAGGAAGCTTTATTTTCAATTTTCAATATTCTTTCTTAAGCCTTCAATTATTATGTTTGGTTTGAAAATCTTCTATTTAATAGTAGATGGTTCACCAGATACAATGGGACGATTACATCTTGAAATACATTTTCACAGCTTCAGAATAAATAAAACCAAGTTTTTGGATATGAAACTATTATCCATTTCTTGAGTTGCCACTGTTGTTAGTTACCTTCAAGTCAGCTTCGATAAATGGCAACCTTGATCTTCTTCTCTATGAGGTTCCTGATTATGCAGCTCTGGTGGCTTAAGAATTGTGTTGCTGATCTAAAGGTACACAGAATCCACCAGCTGCTCCACAGGAGAAAGATGGGCAATCTCCTTGTGTGCAATTTACTGCCTTGAAAATTTGCTGGAGGGTCAGCTAGGGGTTGGTTCTGACTTGACAGTACTCAACAACAACAACAAATCTATATAACAGAAAAAACTGTTGTTAGATTCTGAACTATCTTCATGGTTGCTGGTAAGCCCAGTTTACTATTATAGCAGTTGCATCAATCCATCTCATTGAGGGCTTCCACTGGTTGTGTTTACTCCTATCCCCCCCCGCAAAAAAAAAGATTCTTGAACAGGTAACTCTTAAGTAAATCCCCAGTATGAGCTTAAAATCAAAAGAAATCACTCAGATGGACACATAATTTGAGAAGAATATTCATTTATTATTGAAAAATACACAAAGGCAAAAGGTTGCTTAGCTGCTGATTTTCCAGAGTACAGCTGGGAATGTATTGTAAGAAAGATTGAAATGTATCTGTTATACATGGCAATTTACATTTCTAAGGCATTTAGGCTTAAGAGCAGTAGATCCTGCATGCCTAGGTGCATTTACTCGATCTTAAATATACAAGGCACACCAGACAGGCAGGCAAAGGACTTGAAACTAAACAATAAAACTCTCATGCATTTAGACTTTGAATTGTGTATCCATTCTTCCCATCATCAGTTAATTTTTCCATATGAGTTTTGAAATTGTTCACAGAACACTGGTAATAATCTACTCTTCAAGAGTTTGCTTACAATAACATCACCAATGGGCCAGACAAAATAGAAATATTCCATGGGCAGGTTCTCTTTCTTACCAAAAGGAGATTCTAGTAAGAAAAAAAAAACAACAACAAACCAACACAACACACTGATTTGCAAAGGCACAGTGGAGACAGGTTTAATGCATTAAATATAACATGAATCATTCACAATAACAAGTTTAGTGTTTCAGGGAACTTTTGTTAATACAACACAGTTGGTCATATAAAATACAAATGCTTCTGTTGATTTGTCTTGGCAACTCAGATACATCAACAGTGCTAACAGTTTAACAGCTTTGTTCTCATCTGACAGAAAATAATGGCAGTTCTGCAAGGCAAATGTTAAACCTGACCGTATGTATTTATTAATTCCACAGTGTTTTGACAGATTATAGGGGATGGAACTCAGAGGATGCTGACACGTTCACTGAGGGCTCTCATCTCTGTTTCTTCTGTCTCAGGACTGTCGCTATGCTTAGCACTCGGGTTGATCAGGTGTGTGGGGTACTGCAGCCCCTGCTCGCTGGCATACTGCTCCCACCTCGAGTCATCACTTTCGTGGGTGATATACCGTTCCCCAGTTTTACGCTCCAGCTCCCGTAAGTCTAACCAGGTCTGATAATCCTGAGGCAAAATTGTGAAGCATTATTAGAGAGATCATTAAAACGCAACACGCTGTTTTTTGTAAACTGTCAATTTCCATTATCCATGAGTTACCCTTTTCTCTTCAACTCTAACAGTGCTGTGTCTTCATTGGCTTGTGCTGAAGTGACAGCATCAGCACCAAAGACATCCTATTTGCTCAACCTTTGCAAATGCATATTATTTATTGGTAAAAAGAATCAAAGCCTGGGCAAATAGCACTTGTTATCAAGCAATAAAGAATACTGGTATTGCTTTGAACTTTAACATGTACAAAAAATTCTTTAGTAATTCAGAGTAATATAGATATCATTTATCTAACCTTTAAATGCAATGTGAAAATAATATGAGAACACGAGTACATGCATATATTTCATATTTGCTATGCATTTGTTCTATGAATAAAAGCCTAGGATTTATAATCATAGCTTGCAAGATGACCAGATGGGCATCTATTTGGACATTTATCAGGATTATACATACAGATGCTTTCGAAATCTGGTCTTTTGATTTCTGTTATGATCCCCCACCCCTATCTTTGTGTGTGTGTTTTTCTCCTGTCAAATTCTCCTGGTAGATAGAGTGATTTAGAAAAACTGTTATTAAAAACCAAGGAACTGAAAACATTTTGAAAACATACTGATAACAGACTAATTACATTTTTAAAACTATGAGACTTTATATAGACTATAAAATGCTATAAATATTTATAAACTCATTCAAACAGAGAAAATAACAATGATTGATTTTTCTTTTACCTGTAGCCAAGGATGACTCAAAGTCTTATCCACGCTGTAGCGTTTTCTCATTTTTACTTGCAGCAAATTATTGATAAGATCAATGGCTGAAAAACATTAATTGGCAAAAACAGATCTGAAGTATATTCATAGTTTATTTTCAGTTTTTTCATATCTATTATTTCATACAGTTAAATGCACACAGTGGCAGCAAACATTAGAACCTGAAGAAGATACCTCTTTGAGAATTTTAAAACTTTTGCCTTTATTTTTGATCCCAAGAAAAGAAGTTGGAAATAATTGTGGAGGAAAGAGAAACAAAGGCTATTCTGAGTTGTTGTATTGTTATGTGCCCTCAAGTCATCTGTGCTTCACAGTGACCTTATGTACAATAGCTCTGAACCCTGCCCCATCTTGAGCCAATCTCACTGTCTCTGACACACCTGCCCCCATTGCCCTAGTACTTGGGTTAATCCATCTCATCCAGGGTCTTCCTCTCCTGTGTTGACCGTCTACCTTTCAAAGCATGATGTCCTTCTCCAGGGACTGGTCCCTCTTAGTAACATGCCAGAAGTATGTGAGATTGAACTTAAAAATCCTTGCCTCCAAAGAGCAACTTGGTTTTATCCTCTCCATGATGAACCTGTTAGATCTCTTTGGCACTCCATGGTATGTTGAATACTATTCTCCAGCACCACAACTCAAAGTGGCTAACAGTGACAAAAAAAAAAATAAATATGGGATTCACAGAATACTTGATTGTGCTCATGCAAAACCTATACTTGGTCCAGGAAGCAGTCATGTATCAGGAATGAATCCTGTCTCCATATCTTTTCAATCTGTGTGTGGAAAAGATCTTTTCGGGGGCTGGACTACACGGGTAGCAATGCTGCATCAGAACTGGAGGAAAACTCCTCAGCAATCAACATTATGGGAATGACACAACCTTGCTTGCCAAAACTGAGGAGGACCTGAAGCAATGCTGCAGAAAGTCAAGGAGCGCACTCTACAATATGGATTGAAGCTCAAAACATCAAGAAAACAAAGATTCTTGTTACTGAGCCAATTGGCAGCTACAAGATTAATGGAGATTGAGGTTATTTTAACAATTTCAGCTTGCTTGGATCTTCAATCAACACTCTTGGTACCAGCAGTAAGGAAATAAAAAAAGAAAAAAACAAAAACCCCAAAACCAACGAAAAACTGCATTAGAAAATTTCGCTGTCAGGGACCTCTCCAGAGTGTTGAAAAGCAATGATGTCAGTCTATAGACCAAGGTGAGTCTGATCCAAGTCACGGTCTTCTATTTCTATGCTGTTCTGAATTGGATGTGACTTTATCTTAGTCTTGTCTTTCATATATATCTGTAGAGTAGAAATGCATGTAAATACACAATTAAATATGGCTGTACTAATGGGCAATGAAAGATCCTCAGTGAGACAGAGTGACTGCAGCAGTGACACAGAATTTAGATATGTTGTTCTTGAGGTCTATATGAGTCATATTTGACTGTATGGTATCTAACAACAACAATATACTAATGGCAGGATCAGAAGCCACGTTGTATTGCCAAATTCTGTTTCAAAGACCTCTCAAAAGTGCTAAAAAGCAATGATGTCAATTTAAAGACTAAGGTGTATTGATTCAAGCCATTTTTTTTCAGTTGTTTTCTACACATCTGAGAGTTGGACAATGGATAAATATGACAGAAGAAGAATCAATGCTTTTGAATTGTGGTGTTGGAGAAAAGGACTGAACATCCCACGAACAGTCAAAATGACAAACAAGTCTGTCTTGGGGAAAGTGCAGGTAGATTGCTCCATAGAGGCAAAGCATCTCACTTACTGTGGGCATCTTATCAGGAGAGACCGTCCCTAGAAAAAGACATCATGCTCGGAAAGGTAGAGGGTCAGAGAATGAGAGGAAGACACTCAACAGGAAGGACTGACACAGTGACTCTAACAATGGGCTTGATCAGAGGTCATGAGGGTAACGCAGACTAGGGCCAAGTACAGGTCTGTTGTACATAGGGTTGTTATGAGTCTTAGTCAACCTGATGGCACCTAACAACAACAATGGCAGGATCACTCTGGTAGCATTATGGTAAAAGCACCATGCAGCTGAGAAAGAGGTCAGTAATTTTAAACCATTAACTACTCTGCAAATGAAAGATGAGGCAGTTTGTTTCCAGAAATATTTACAGCAATGGAAACCCTATGCAGAAGTTATACTCTTTTCTAAACTCATTGTTGTCAAGTCAATTCAGACTTATGGTGACACTTTGACCATTTTCTGAGGCTGTAAGTCTTTCAGGAGTAGATTACTTATCATGCTCCTGAAAAGTGACTGAGGGACTTGAACTGCTGATTTTTCATTGTACTCTAACAAAAAGGTCCAATAGACAACATAGAAATTCCATATGATCCAGCTATTCCACTGTTGGAATATACCCTGAGAAAATGAGAACTGAGGCACAAATGGAGACTTGTGTTCATGGCAGCTTATTCACTATTACAAGAACATGGAAACAGCCCAGATGTGCAACTATAATTGAATGGATTGAGAAATTATGGTACATTCATACAATGGAATACTACACAGCATGCAGGAATAAAGATTGTGTCAATTATTACCTAACTTGGGAGTGAATGGAGAGTGTCTTAAGAATTTTGGTTTCCTTGACATATTATAAAAACCATGGAAATATTTAAGTGAATAGAAATCATCTACTCAGAATTTGGTAAATAAAAGTTATATTTACTCAGATGTGACAATGTTTTCATGCTTCCTGATAACTGGAAAGAAAAATCTCATTAATATTGGTGTGCCTTTCTTTATGTAGCAGTTCCATGAACCTGATTTTTAGATAGCCTTTGTCTCTTTGTACTCTACTATACAGGTAAACAAACTTGAAAGCTAGAGTCACATTCTATCTACAAAGGGTTGTAATACATGCACCTCTTTCTTTCTTTAATAATGTTTACATTTTATTAATAACTAGAACTTTTTGAAATCTGCCATATTAATAGTCACATTCTTCCAGAATGAAATGACACATTTAAACATTGCTTTTGGTACAATGACTTTACACTTGGCTTGAGCATGGTGGAGATCAGGAAGATGGAACAGGATATGGCAAGGTTTGGATCTGCTGCTCACGGGGCCCCTATGAGTCATGGTTGCTTCAACAGTTAAGTATAACAACCTTAAACTATCTCAGTCCTTACACAGAAAAATGATGCCACCAAAATTTTAAATTAAATATTGTTAAAGAATGATAAATATTACCCTTCCAATGTCCCAAACATTAAGATCACATTTTGATCTACACAAGGTTATATTAAAAACGGGGACTCTTTGCCATCCAGTTTGAACCAATTTGCAGCTAATCCTCCAGTGGGATGTTCAGAAACTCTAAGTCACATGAAAGGAAACTGCCTATTTGTCTTCTACAAAACAGTTGGTGGAGTCAAATCACCAGAGAGGTACTGTCCTTGAATGAACAGTGCAACTACAGAAAACTCCTACACAAGGCTGTATGAACTAAAAAAAAAAAACAACAAAAAACAAAAAACCCAAATAAACCCCTGTTATTTGAGTCCACAGGGTACCTACACAAATCAGGATTAATTGTAATTCTTTTCACTTTTAGGCAGAAAAGTGATATCAGTCTTTTGGTAATCTGGAGTACTATCTCTCTCATACTAAGACTACAGTATTTGCTTGTACTCAAAGACTAGAGAATAAAATATCAAAATTGTTGGTTTTAAACATCAGAGAAGATTTATCACCAGTTCAACTTATTTAAAAAAAAAAAAAAAACCGGAAAGAGGACACTCCTAGAGACATTCTATGAAGCAAGCATAACCCTAATATCAGGCAAAAACCAAAGAAATTTAAAAAAAAAGCACTAGAGACCAATATTTCTCATGAATATGGATCATGAACATGGATCAGAAACAAGGAAAAATCCTTAAAAAAATCCTACACATGAGAATCCAAAAGCACATAAAAAAAATAGTTCACTATGACCAAGTAGGATAACAGGTATGGTAGGATGGTTCAACATAAGAAAAAAAATCAATATAATTGACTATATTAACAAATCAAATAACAAAAACAATATGATCTTAGCAATTGATGCAGAAAAAGCATGTGGCAAAACAAAAACAAAACAAAACAAAAAAACCCAAACCAAACAAACCAACACCCTTTCCTGATTAAGGCATTCAGCAAAATTGGAATAGAAAGAAATTTCCTCAATATATTAAAAAGTATACATGCAAAACCAAGAGCAAATATAACTCTCAATGATGTTGCTGTTATGTGCAGTCGAGTCGCCTCCTACTCATAGCCGCCCTATGTACAACAGGTCTCTGACACACCTACCCTCATTACCCCAGTCACTGAATCTATCTACATCATAGAGGGTTTTCCTCTCCTGTGCTGTCCCTCCTCCCTCCCAAGCATGACTTCCTTCTCCAAGGACTGGTTCCTCCTTGCAACACGTCCAAAGTATGTCAGACATAGCTTCAGAATCCTTGCCTCCAAGGAGGAGCCTGGTTTAATCCTCTTTAGGATGAACCTGTTTGTTTTCCTAGCGGTCCATATTCAAAAAACTTCTCCAACACCACACAGCTCAAAGGCATCAAATCTCCTTCTATCCTCCCTTGTCATTGGCCAAGTCTCTGACACATGGCAAATGATTGCAAAGACCATGGCCTGTATCAGGTGCACCTTAGTCTCCAGAGTGACACCATTGCTCTTCATTCCTTTGGAGAGGTTCCTAAGAGCATACTTTTCCATAACCATATGTCTTTTAATTTGGAAAAACACTAAAAGCATTTTCCTTGTGAACAGGGACCAGAGAAGGATTTCCACTGTCACTACTTATATTCAGCATTGCATTAGAAGTGCTTGCCAGGACAATATGGCAAGAGAAGGAAATGAGAGACATCTGGATCAGCAAAGAGATGGTTAAACTATTGCTTTATGCAAATCATATGATAGTGTACACAGACAGCCCCAAGGACTCAACAACAACAACAACAAAAACCCCTGTTAGAGTTAGTGGACTAATTTAGTAGGGTCGCAGGATACAATATTG